GTAATTCGCAAGAATACCGTTTGTTTCGTGATTGGCGTTTGTGACTGATCCTCGATGTAAAATTATTTGAAGAAGTAAGTGATATTTTTATTTTCAGTGTTTAAAATACTCGTACTTTCTTCACCTAAAAATTTTATAAATAAGCATCTGTGTAGGAATGTGATTTCCATGTTTTTTTCTTTTGTTATGTGCCTAATTATCCTTTTCAGATTGGTACTGTAATGACATGATACCAATCAATAAATGAAAAAATTTTGCACTCGTCTCTTCTTACTTAGTGTCACCCTGTTTTCTTACTTATGTGTCTCACCTTTTTGAGTTATATTATTTTACTCAAACGTTTTAATACTTATCTTAAATCATACTGTAATTAAGCGAAATCGCTTTTAATGGAAAAGAAAGGCAAATTACATGACTATTGTTCAGAATCTGTTCGGAATATATCTATTTATGCCAAAAAATAAAGCATGTAACTTTCATTTATTTATGAAATTCAAATTTTTTTTTGCTTGTTTCCCTAAAATAATTTAATTTCTTATTTTTGAATTTAGTTTTATAAATTTGCTTTAATAATAATCTTTACTCAAGATATTTGCATTAAACAGAAATTTTAATGCGATAGAAACCAGGTACTTTGTCCAAATCTTTTCATTTTATTTTATATATACTATTTTTCATGTACTGTAATTAACTGACATATATCCTTTCAGAAATAAGCAAGTCCTAAGCTAAGTCCTTTCATGAATGCATTTTTTTTTTTTTTTTTTTTTTTGATTTTGTTGTTTTAAAGATCTGCCATAGTTAAAGAAGAAAATAAAGTAAGAATGCTTTACTTCAGTTTTGAATAAATTTATTACTATTTACTGCAGATTCAGGTTTCTCCAAACATAATTTTCGAAGTCAAAACTTGATAGTTATGTTGATTATTAGACTTGCATGAAAAAATTAATTGAAAAGTTAGTATTTGATCTAAAATACCTTAATTATTTGAATATATTTTACTAAATCATGTATTTTGATATAACTAGTAGTTAAAAAAAGAAAATTGTAAATGTGCAGAAATGCTTATAAAACCTAAGAAATTGTTTATATTTTTGTTGCTTTTTCCCTTGTAAATTATATATATATATATTACAATCTGGGGAGTCAGCACCCTGCTGAATTGTAGTAAACGAGACGTCCAATCTACTAGACCATCAAAGACATAAATTTGGATTTTTTATTTCATAGTTATTGAAATCATAATAGGTATGTTTGTTTAAATTAGTACTGTTTATGCAATGTGATAAAAATAAATTCTGATAAGCTAAGAAATGATTTATTTTCTATTAATTATGAACTGTAAATAATGTAGCCAGTTTTCTTCATAGTATTTACTAAACATTTTTTTTTTAAAAAAGGAGGTAGTCATACATTCTTGCATAGTGAGATACCAAGAAATAAAATTTCAGGAATTTTCACTCAGTATATCTTGATGTGTAAATTATTTTGTTCACGCCATATTACTTTTTCACAGGAAAGTAATTTTATTGATCTAACATCTGCATAAATCAAACTTTTTTAAGAATGATTACAGTTTCTAAGCTAACTTAAAATTTTCAGATTTAGAAAATATATGTTTAATGTAGCATTAGTTTTCCATGGAATAGAAAAGGTTTTCAAAATGTTCAGTTGTTAGAGGGAAATAATACAAATTAGACTGTCCTGATATAGTTTCAGCTGGAAATGAAACTGAATTTTCGGATAGTGAAGATTGAAATTTCTCTGCATTTAAGAATTCTAATAACTAATTAATGTAAATCCTACCTACGATTCATGTAGGTATTCTTCTTCTGTATCAGGACCAGATTCAGAAATGTGTGTCTATATGCATGCATTTTTAAATGTAGGTGCCCGTGTGTGCATGTGTATATTCTTTATGTATGTATGTGTATACTCATATGCATACATGCATATACACATGCTTACAATCTACAGTGGAACCTCGAGATACAGTTTAATTCGTTCCACCAGCATTCCTTTGGCTAAATGTTTTCTTTCTTAATTTCTATTTCTTCCTGCTTCTTCAGAATAGAACAGATCATCGATGTTGAAAGGCCGCAAGTCTTTCTCCAATTCCGTCACTCTTGCACTACGCTTATGTTTATCTATGATTTCTTTCTTGAATTTCGAACGGCCATGGCTTTCTTCTTTTTCTTGGCAGCAACTATCTGAGGCAACAATCTTCTTGAGAGGCATCTTGAAATAATTATTTATCATTTAAATGTCAGTAAGCAATTAACTTGCACTAGCGCACAAACACGTAGATGAAAGAACACCGAGTGATCTGACGAGGGGATTCCCCGAGTTGAGCCGGATAGGAAAATGGCGCCACCCATACCGACAGCCCAGCTCATTGCTCGAGTGAATGCTCGTATTTTGCTCATACTTTCCTCGTATCTCGAGGTTTCATTGTACATTTCTGAATCCCGTCCTAATAACAGAGGAATACTTTTGCCAGTATTGCAACAGAGCTAGAATGAATTATTGTGTTAAATATGTGGAAAATGCATGCTTAAAGTACTGTTATTTTCTAAAAATATTCTGTATGTCGATTTTTTACAAGAAGAAAAAATAGCTAAAAGCTGTTTTATTTATTAGTCCAAGGGGCTTTGTCCATAAGGACTATTGTTTTTGTTTTTGCGTTAGTTCACTATAATATCCGTTTCACTTTTCAAACTGTTCCCACAAATGTTAAAGTCCCTAGTGTGGGATTAATCTCTCTATCTTAGTACCCTCTATATCTATGTTAGGGTTAACCTGTATAACCTACAAGGATTGCCAGTTTAGGCAAGATATCTAGGTAGTCATAATAAGTACCTTATTTTTTATTATTTTTAAATTAAATTGAAAGTAATAAAAAGTATAAAGTATTTGTGTATTATCTGAAGATATGAATGCAATATTTGTGACATTAAACATTCATCTTCAAGGAAAATAAGTCAACTTTGTAACTATTGGAAAAGGTAAGTTTTCTACAATTTCCTGGTCTATATTTAACAATTTTAAAATTTAGCACACTCATTCAAATAATCTAAATGTATGATGTTTACTGAATTTGGTAATTAACTATATTGTACTTTAGATAGAAATTAACGTAGGTATTCCCCGTATTTTACGGTACAAAAACTTATATATTTGGTAATAATTGACCTAAATCTTCCCTATGTTTTCTTTGCATATGCGAATGACTTTAGTAAAAATTTAGTCCGATATCTTCTCCTCTTTACTGTGTATAAGTGCACATTTTTGGTAAAAAATTTGTGTAAATCTCCAATTACCTATTTACTGCATTTTCCCTAAAATGTGCTTAATTTAATCTCATATTTTTTATATAAATCTATGCAAAAATGTTCTGCATATTATGATTAAAAGATAAATTGTTAATTTGATATCAAATTTTTACATATCCACCTTTTAGGTATGTACAGCATATGGAATATATATAACTGGAAAAATTTAAATGCAAAAAAATTAATTTCTATTCAAAAATTACATAACACTTAAAGGCTGAAAATCACTTTTAATATTTCATTTCAAAGTGACTACAAAATATGCGATAAATTTTGTAAACCTGAGTTCTATGTTTTAAATCAATTAATGTTATAAATGTTATCGTTCATTTAAATTGCATAAGAAAATGTCCTTCGGAAAAGCAAATAATTTATTTAAAGTGTTATTTAGTAATAATGAATTTAGTAAATTTATGAAATGACTTCAGTAAACAAAAATGTAAATGAATGATTGCATTAATTGATTTAAAACATAGAATTGATGTTTACGAAATTTATTGCATATTTTGTAGTCGCTTTGAAATGAAATATTAAAAGTGATTTTCAGCCTTTAAGTGTTATGTAATTTTTGAATAGAAATTATTATTATTATTATTATTGCATTTACTAGTGCATTTAAATTTTCCAGTTATATATATTCCATATTGCTGTACATAACTAAAAGGCAGATATGTAAGAATTTGATATAAAAATGACATTTTACCTTTTAATCATAGCATGCAGAAAGTTTTTGCATAGATTTATATAAAAAATATGAGAATAAAATAAAAACATTTTATGAAAAATGCACTGAAAAGGTAACTGGAGATTTATGCAATTTTTTTACCAAAAATTGCATTTATACACAGTAAAGTGGAGAAGACATCGGATTAAATTTTTACCAGTCATTCGCATATGAAAAGAAAACATAGGGAAGATTTAGGTCAATTACTATCAAATATATACGTTTTGTACCGTAAAATACGGGAAATATATACGTTAATTTCTATCAAATATATACGTTTTTGTACCGTAAAATACGGGAAATATCTACCTTAATTTTTACCTAATATATACGTTTATATACAGTAAAAAATTGGGGAAATTTACGTAAATTTTTACTAAATATATACGCATACGTGAAGCAAAAAATTGAGATTTAAGTACAGTCAAAAGTCTTTAATCCGGACTCGTCGGGACTTCGGCGATTCCGGATTATCGATTTTTCCGGATTATAGATCATCAGTTTAAATCTGGTAAGATGGCATGCAGAAATTATAAAATTAAAAATATGAAACCATAATTTATAAAATAATGAGCAATTATGATCTAAAGGGTATCCAAATTTTACCAAAAAAGAAGCCTAATATTTATTTGTTTACTTTATTAAACATTTCTTTTAACGCGCGGATGCGTAAAGCATACCTTACTCATAGCCGAAATTAGAAAATTGCAACCAGAAAACTATGTGATTTGTATTCGTGATATTTATAATGACGAGGAATTTGATTTAAATCATATCAAAGACGGAGTACATCGAAATTAAATACTACATTTAGTAAGGAATTATAAGCAGACTAAAATAAAAACATCTGCGCTGAAGATAACGATAGTGTTGACAGATCAACTTCCAGTTCATTGAGCGCCGCGACGAAGAAAATTATACACAAATAACAAAAATCAGCATACCTCTGTCACATAACCAGAAACATTTGCACCAGGAAGAATAGAATCGAGCCTAATATTTTCATTTGTTACCTAAAAAAATACACATCAACTTCATTTAGCAATTCTGAAAGACAAAATGGCATATAAAATACAATTCCTAAACAGCTCTACCAATGTCAATAAATTAAAAAAAAAAAAATTAGAAATACATGAAACATCCAACATATAGCAAACTTAATGCTCATTGCATTAATTTAAGAAATAAGGCATAAAATTTTAAAAATTCATGTTCTAAATTGTATATTCTGAAACTTTCTCACCTACCACCCCCTTTTCTTAAAAAAAAGGGGGAGAACACCAGTTTCTCTTTTTGAAATCAATAATGTAACCCACAGTTTTCCATGTTTTATGAGTCATAGCCCACTTTTACAAAACAGTGAGTCGATGATACACCTTACGTAAAGTATACTACGTTATATATTGAAAAACAAGCACAGATTTTAAAAACTAGTTTCCTAAAAGATATTAACTTATTGTTGTACTGTTCAAAGTCTGATCAACAAATATATATAATTAAAAAATTAATATAAGTTTATTAGTAAGAGGGCAGAGCTTGGTGTAATGACACTAATTTTTCAATATTTTGTGCCGTATTTGTCATCAGCAATTGTATATCACCATATTCCACTACTAAAGTTTCATTTCTTTTTTAGTAAATTGCTTACTGTACTATATCTGGATTTTGACTAAACATGATGACGGGAACACAAGGAAAAATTTCTTTCATGTAGCTCATGAAGCCAGGTATAATACTGGCCTTTGAAGCCAAAATTCTTAACATCCATTTGTCCATTTCAACTCTTCATTTGTTGGCAATTCTGTCATCTCTTCTGCAGTTATGATTCATCTCTTTTTAGGCCTGTTCTAGGACCTAATATGAGATGCTCATCCGGATAATATCCTGAAATCTACTTGCAAAAATCTTCCTGAAGTCCTTACAAATGCCCGCAAAATACTAGGTCTTTGAAATTTTCATTTGCAGCTGCTCTATCATGAAGAGATTCACAAAATAAATACTCTTCGGCAATCTGTTTACCTTTTTTTGAAACATATGTAAACTAATAATCGTACAAAGTTCGTTATATCACTTCATTCAATTGCAATGTGGTATACTCACTGTGTTTTATTTTTTGAATAAGTGTCATTTTCATGGAATTTGCCCATTTCTTTAATTCATCGACTTATTGAATCATTTGATAACGGAATATTATTAAGTTCATTAGCCACTTTTTTATTGAATAATGTTAAAATGATATCTTTAGCTGCTGATAATATAATGTTTGCTCCAATAGCATGAGCCTGCCCTGTTTTGGCAATTCTTAGGCTTACTGTGTAAAGTCATGAGGTTATTTTGAAGCAGGAGTACATGAAAAATGAGCACTGCCTTGACAGGACTCAAACCTGGACCTCTCAGCGCCAAGTGTGCTACCGTTACACCATCAAGGCATACTGGAAAGAGGGAGAAAAAACCTTATAACTGGGTAACTAAATTCCAATGCTTTTTCACTTGAAGTAACAAAACTTTTCATTACTTGTTTACTATTTCTGAACTCCGATAATTTCCTCTTAAAATATTCTTCAGACATTTTCTTTAAACTGACATGCTTAGATTAAAGACATTGGTTTCATACTTTATAGTTCACCACTAACAATAAACTGATTTTGAGGGTCCATTTCATCTCCATTCCAAGTAAACTCAAATGATAAATGACTTTTATTATATTTTCTATAAACAAATTTTCTTTTTTTTTAATATTATTAGTCTTAGTAGATTGTCCTGGATCCATCCCCTGTGAATCATTACTTTTCCGCTTAGTCAATCCTAGCCATTTTTCCATTTTGAAAGCTAGGTTTGTTTTTGTATTATTTTATCACAAATATTTCAATGCTCAGTATATTATGAATTCTTCAAAAAACAAATGACGATATTCTCAAATTGCGTACAAAAGTAAGAAAAGCAAAGCAACAACACAAAATATTGCTGTTAGAGCCAGCAAATCGGCGTAAAAATGATTTTAATTGAAAATACAGGAATATGAGCCCAGAAATGGTGGCAGCATAAATCGTAGATATGCTAATAAATCGATCAAAACTAAATGAATAAATGAAATACTATTACCTTTTTAGAGGAACTTATTCTTATTCCCTGCACAACACCCATTTCTATTAGTCCTTTTAAAAACATCATTTATGACAAATTTTATTATGTCTATGGCTAAAAGAATATTTGTGAAAATAAAAATAGATAATTTTGCTAAGTCTATGAGCAGCTACTGACCTTGAACAAAGTTCAGATCGCACAAATTTATGAGTGCTATAGAAAAAAAACCTTAAACAGGATGCTGGAGTACTTAAGTTTTGAATTTCATATTTAAAATTACTTTGTTTCTTTGTGTACCACCTATTTTTCTCTTGTGTACGATCAGTGGTACGCATACCACCAGTTGAGAATAGCTGTTTTAAACTATACTGATGTATCATTTAATCACACAATTCATTTCATCTACAATTTTTATAAACCTGAGAAAATGCCTAATATAATGTAAGAAGTAAAAGTCAAAACTGTTAAACATATCAGTTAACAGAAATTGGGATTCAGTACAAATGTAAAATTATATGTGAAATAACACTTCACCTCAAATCATGTATTTTTAGTACAGTATTAAATTTATAATACAATTTCATGCCTTCCGTGTTTGAAAATGTCATCATTCAGATATAGTATTAATCGAGGCTACATAATGCAGTCTCATGGTTAAGGAGAAATTATTCAGAGCAGGTTCATATCTCTAAAATGGCTCCCCTTTAATTTGCTCTGGAGATAAAACTATTACTGGACAGATTGTATTACTACTAGACAGATTACAGATGTATTACCGGACACTGAGATACAAAGTAGCCAAAAAAACTACTTTGAAGTGGCAGAAATGAAAGTAATAGCAAGCCCGAGGAAACCATGAAAGTATACAGAATATAACTTTGAATGTGCAGGGTAAAATTGAGCACCAGATGATGGTTTTGCATGTGTGACAGCCTACTTATAGCTTAGTTTATTGTAGGCTTAGACTACTTTATCTGTGTTTACATTATTTGATACTTATTACTTAATTTACATTGCCACAAGGGATAGTTTATCTGTAGCAAAAGTTCTCCGCTTTATGTTTAAAGTTCAGATTAAATAAAAAGGCTATTCAAACATTCTCGGGATTTTGGAATATTTCAGTCAGTGATAACTTACTAATTTGTCTAATAAGGTCTACAGTGCCTAACTTCAGGTTCTAGAACAATAGCTACCTCACGAGTGGAACATAAAAACTTCATGAACTATATCACAAGACAGTATTGCTTTTAGCTCCCACTCCCAAGACTTCAAGTTTCTCCAGCAGCAGGAAATCTGATGGAAGGCTTCAGTATCATCACAGACACTACATGCCCCTCATTAAAGCCATCTACAATGCAGCAATGGTAAAACTCCTAGATTGGTATATTTAGAACAATTAGAAATGCATTTTTCATTATATTCTGTTGCAGGTCACCATAGCAACAACTACTGCACTTCAAGGACAGTCTCTGAGCTAGTACAAAGATGTCAGCAAATTTTTATTAGGTGAACCAGGCAGTAAATACTATAAGTTTCAAGTATTTAAAAACTGCTCTTTTGAAATCATTCCCCTCATAGTGAAAGAAAGAGCAAAATTAGAGTTGGAACTTTTTGGTGAATATCAAACTAGGGGTGGAGGATTTACACTTTATTTGAAGGAAAATACAGGTAGTAAATTTGTTGTATTGCAAGAAATTCGATTCCTAAGTGATTCAAATTCTAGTATGCAGGTTGTTGCAACAGGTGTAAGATTTTTTGGAGATATGAAGCCATGGTATTAGGATAATTATTCGAAGTACCTGTAAAATTTAAAGCAAGCAAGTCTCAATGACTATGTGTATATGGGGAGATCAGAAAAGATTTAGCTAGAAATATCAGAAACAAGTAGCCGAATGCATGTCAAAGTTTGACAGAGCATGGCAGTTTCAAAATTGTTAGAATTTTTTGTCTGCAAATGGCGATGACAAAATAAATCTCAGGAGATGAAAAAGGAAGATAAAAAATCTTTAAACTAAGTAGGGGGTCTGTAATACGGAGAGGATAGTCACCCCAGATAGAAGAAAAACCTTCTGACATCCAATTAAATATCATAATAATTAAAAATTTATCCCTCCCAGTGTTTCAAGTTGTGTTAAACAGCATACGTCCACTTTTATGGCAGGAAAATTTTAGGACATGCAGACTGTTTGATGTGGCACAAATGAAGGTAATAGTGCTTCAAGGAAAACAGTGTGAATGCTTAGGGAGAATGAATATGCAGGTTAAAAATGAACACCAAAATGCAACCCCCCCCCATTGTGAGAAATTTATGGCATTTACAGGTAATACTGGGCATTATTATTATTATTATTATTATTATTTCAAAAATTCATTTTCAAAAAGATACAGTACAGGTCGATATAAATAAACTTACAGAAAGAGAAGTACAACCACCAGATTTGTACTTGAAGGAGTTGAAGTTAGACGACAAACTAAAATTGGAACAGTTTGAGGATACCCTAGAGCTGACCCATGTGGTCAATCCCTCAATAGAAAGAGGAAACTACTCCCCTTGAAGAGCAAAACATATACTTGAATACTGCTACAACAGGGTTAAAGAACATACCATAGAAAATAATACTTCATAAATGCTGAAAGTGTAAATAAGGTTAGTTAAAATTTAGGTTTTCCAGCAAACACTTATACAGTTTGTTAAGATTCTATACTGTGTATCTTAAGTTACAGTGGAATGTGAAGAATTTTAAGAACTAGTAAGTGAATAACTGCTTGAGTTCATGGGATAGAAAACAACGAGTGAGAAGGGTGAAATAACCCTTTATTATTCGAACTAAAATTTAACAGAACTCCGTCTTGGAGTTTTATAATAAAGCCGACACTCAGGCTAGAACTTAGGAAACTAAGAATTAAAACTTAACTAAAAAGATATAGC